CCATTTAAGTAGAGTAGGATTAGCGCAATTGTCTTTTCTTCCACTTTTTGTGTTATAATCAAAAAGGTGGTTTTTTGGCTATTGTGAGTAGGTACAGTACAGGTGACCTGTGACTTCTGCCTTGAGTAAAATGATTACCCATTGATAAATATTTTTCAGTAAGTCATTTTGGGCTTTCGAGGGCGGAACTCAGTAGGTTACTTGTAATAATAATCTTTTTTGATTAAGTGATCTTAATTAATAAAAGGAGGGAGTGTTATGGCAGAATATTGAATACAGCGTATTTATGATATTCATTAATGATCACATGGTATTCCATATGATGTGTGTTACTGAGTTGGGTCACACACAGTTAGAGAGACAATGGTCGTTCTGAATTATCAATAGATGTATTCATTTTAAGTGAGCTGACACCGAGGGTATAGGAAGTTCAGAGAAGGCCTCGGGTTATAAAACAGTTAACCTTTGTTAGTTAACTAATCCTAAAGATGTCATGAGATGATGACGTTTAAATATATACAGGTATAGCTTTCAGAGAGAAAAACATGTGACATTTGTGTGGTTGGCTGCATGATAGCGTGGTGTGTGTTAAACATGTTTGGGGAACATGTTCGTGTGTCATTTAGAAAAGTATATATAGCCCTGTGTTTCTTCTGTTCTGGGGGGCATTTCCACGATTGGCTGCTGTGGCAGAAGGTGATGTACTTCCCATTATTGTTTGTTTGTTGCAACAACTAAATAATAATTACTTATCAGCTATATCTGTGTTTGTGTTTTATTGATTCCTCTCTGTTTCATTCTTTCCTGTTGTGTTATGCTGGATCTCCACAACAGAGTGGATGGAATGAGGAAACCCTTTAGGCTAGTTTCATCAAAGACTTAAATGAGGAAACTAAGGATGAACTGGTGTCTCAAAACTGAACCTTATAATCTTGATGATGCGATTTCCTCAGCCATTCATGCGGAAAATCGTCTCCAGGAGTAAGAGAGACAGTGCAGCCATCAGGAAGAAAGCCCTCAGGATTATAAAAGACCCCCATCACCCCGGCCACAAACTCTTCTGTCTGCTACCGTCTGGCAGGCGGTACCGCAGCATCCGGACTAAAACCACCAGACTCAGGGACAGATTCATCCCACAGGCCATAAGACTGTTAAACACCTGAACTAAGAACATCCATAACATTCACCAGTTTGCAACTCACACATTATGTATCACTTGTATATAGACTCTTATGGCACTACTTCTATTCTATTTGATTGTATTTACTTGAACTATTTCATCTGCTGTATTGTGTTGCACTGTTGGAGGAGCCTGGGACCTAATATTTTCATTGTCATAACTGCACTGTAGCTATGTACGAATGACAATAAAAGCCTTGAATCTTGAATCTTGAAAAAACAATAAATTAACAAAATACAATTGAAACTTTATAAAGCCAATAACGAAAGAGTCCAAATCAGCTGTGTGCATTTCACTTATTGTAATTTCTTTCCTCTGAAGCATTCTCTCTGCTGCTGATCATATACATACAACATTTAGAGTTATTCACATTGAAAAAATAGGAGGTGGTAGAGTCATTTTTTTATCTGATAACACCAATTGGTTGAAATGCAAGAGCTTTATCTTGTCAAATCACATTCAGTACACCCACAGTATTTCTTTTTAGGTGTTTATCTTGGTATGCGTGTCAAAAAAAAGTTGCCATTGCGTGATCTAGTTATATCAAATTTGAACATTTCCTTTAATTAAATGCGTCCTGTGTGTTGTGTTGACTTTTCTAACTTAATTTACACTGTGAGGGCATAAAAGTCACATGTTTCTGTAATGGGAGTCTTGTGCTTATGTTGCACATGCACACACACACACACACACACACACACACACACACACACACACACACACACACACACACACACACACACACACACACACACACACAGCAATTTTGACAGATGTGTTTCTTGCATAAATACAATATCTCCACTTTGATGTTTCATTTGTGTAAGCACTTTTTTAATTGGTTTGCTTAGGCCATTAACTATTAGTGAAATTATATTAATATTCATAGTTTAAATTCTGGTGTTTTCTATATTGTAACAATACCTCCTTTACACATAGTTCTCCAATCAATTCTCAAAAATGCACCTTTTAGAGCTTCTAAACCTCTGTACATAATTTCTATCACCTTCCTTGTATTTTCCAACAGTGTATCCATACTTAACCCTGTATGGGTAAACTCAAAATAATGATAACACATGTGACAACAGAACAAGAGAAAAAAGAGTGCGACTTCCATTTGTGTTACCAAGCACCTAAGGTAGCTGTCCAACGTTTTCCATGCATGGAACTGAGCATGGATCCTAGGGTCTGCTATGACCCAGAGCGGCAAGGTCTTAAAAACAGCCCTATAAAATATTTTCATCTAGATAGTTTGAAATATGATGTCTGAGGCCTGTACTACGAAGCTGGATTTTCGCTTAGCCGGCTGACTTCAGGGAAAACTCGGGCTTTCCGGTCCTACGACGCTGGTTCTCTTTTTAGCGGGCTAGATCTCCATGGTAACTTATGCTGAGCGGCTAACCTCCTCGGGAGGAGGTTAGGTTGCAGGCTAAGAGATCAATTCAGTGAAAGCACCGCCTGCTGACCAATCAGAGCTCCGTGTGCGGAGTTTAAAGCTATCAAGTCATATTACAGGATAGAGGAAATACAGAAAAACTGCCGTTGCAGGAAAGACGGCCGGCAAAAATCAACTGACTGTGTGAACGTGAAAATTAATAGAATATCCCCTCCCATCTTCAGAGCAATCTGACTATTATAACATTAGCGTTAAGAAAGCTTACTTAAATATCTGCCACAACATAAGTAACCGGATCAGAGTAACATTAAGTACAGTCCGCGGCACTGTGAGTGCAGACGTCGATGTGTCCCATTATCATTCATATCATATCACATCATAATGTATCATATATTTCCTTATTTGAGTCAGCTTCTTGAGCCGTATCTGGCCATGCAACACTCACAGTGTCACATACTGTATGCAGAAGTATTATTTTAAGCAACACATTAAGTTGACGAAACACTCGAGTCAAATGTAATTAAAGTCAGATCCACTCGTGTCTTGGACGGGGCAGTGATTTCATAAACCTGTTAATGTACGCATTCAAACACTTCTTTTTTTACCAGCTGTATTCACCTTGCAGGTGCAGCTATGTGGCTTTTATCCTGGATAAAGTGTTTAAGTCATGGATGTTTAAAGTTTAACTTCTTCATATTTGACTAATATTAAAGTTCACTTTTCATTCAGGAAGTATGACGCTGCGCTGTCAGTACGCTTGTCCGTGTTTGAGATTGGACGAATGCTCCAAATACCACCGCTTTCATGTGAACGCGCACCTAACTAGATAGGACACGGCTGGCTTGAGCAATCCACTTGACAACCAGCGTCGTAGTACAGCTTAGCGAGAGCGCGTATGTTTTGGATTGGGCCAACCGGCTAACTCAAACATATCCAGGTTAGGTTGAACCAGCTTCGTAGTACAGGCCTCTGATGTCTGGGAAAATGGCAATAGCGTAAAGGATGAAACAAAACACCATCAATACGTCACACCTCTTAAGTGCTAAAGGTAGTCCTAGCAACTGTACCAGATAATTATCTATATATCTATCTCAAAGATATAAGGAAATGTTTGATTTTTTCTCACGCTGAGTCAAGACAAATTCAAATAAGCTTTATTGACATGCCCACATTTAAAACATACTATTGCCAAAGCACATTGACAATACAGATTTAAGACTGAAACAAGTGTGATAATCAAGTCCATTGTGTTAAATAGAGACATATCATCTTACAAAGCCACACAGATGAATAATATTCTAAATGTATTGATCCTGTATAGATCTGTTTTACTGGTTAATAAAAAGAGAATAGCATGACATTGTTGTGAAAGCAGGGATCTTGATTAAAAATGCTGATAAACACAAATGTCTTTCCTCTGAAGTACACTGTCTGCCGCTGATCATAAATATAAAAAGTTCACATCATTTCAAAGATAACTTTCAGGGAGGAGTTGTTCACTTTGAGAAAAAAAGGTGAAGTGGTAAAGCTGCTTTTTATCTGATAACAGCAGTTTGTTGAAGTGGAAGAGCTTTATCTTGTCAGAGAACATGTAATACACCCACAATATCTTTTTACGGTTTTTATCTTTGTATGCATGCTCAAAGAAAGTTGCCATTTCCTGATCTAGCTATATCTAATTTGCCCATTTACTAAAGGTCTGTAATTAACTTCAAATAAAAGGCAGTTTACTTTTTTAATGAATCATGAGCAAATCCTGCAGTTAAAGTCCCAGATTATTATTGTGATAAACATACATACATTTTTGTATTAATTGACAGCACTAGTTCTTACAGTATGTACAAAGTGGCTGGTACCTATGCATGTTAAATACCTGCAATAGATCTGTACTCACATGGCCACAAGAGGTCATTGTTAGGAAACATACTGTATAACACACAGGCTATTTTACACATTTGAACAAGTTAGACCAATGCTGAGACTAGAGTATTGTTGTATATGTCTGAATTATTCAATAATGTTTGACAGTTGTTATTTTTCTTTTTTGTATCATATTCTGCTCAATAAGGCACCTTCAATATTATAACTTTCAGGAATTGTGGGCTTATCAGCAGATGTTTTTAAGAAGCAATTGTTATGTTGATATGTAAAAGGATGAATACAAATACTAATTTAATTGAGGCAAACAAAAGTTGGCCAAAACAAATTAAATGACTATTTATTTATAACTGATTTTAATTTTTAAAAAACCCCACTAAAAACATGTTATTTATCAATTCGAGCAAAGTAATTCTTTGCCATGAAATCAGACATTGTGTATAGTTTTAAATAACTCGATTTAAACTCAATTGTAAAAGCATGATTGCATGTTTAGTATCCAAACAGACACCAATGTCAAGCTTCTTTCTCACAGATCCAATGCAGATCGTACGTACAGGGCCTGTCGTTCCAGCTTTTGGAGTGAACAATACTCCGTATTTCTGCACAGTCCTCTCCGTCAAAATTATCAGGCTGTCTTGTGCTCCAAAACCTAACAGGTATTACAGGAAAAGAAGATGAACTAAAAGATTGGACATCAAAAATAACTATAAGTAATACAGCCATGTTCTTTTCTTAACACCCAAATGAGTCTTCTTAACACCCTACGTTTAAATGCATCCTGTGTGTTGTGTTAACTCCCATTACAGAAACATGTGAAACATTTAGAAAGGTCACAACATAAACCAGCGTCTGTATTTAAAACCAAAGTAAAGCCTTACGTCAGATTCAGTGGAGATCTATCCACCCATTTCCAGTTCCCCTCCTCTTTTGTGTCATTCAAACCAATCCAAGTTTGTTCCTTGATCATGCTAGTGATGAATTCCTGTTCACATATTAAAAATGCAGTTTACTGGGATGGACATCAACATTCAGATAACTTTTCCCTTTTTACTAGCTCAGAAATATGTAATCAACACCATTGTTGTGACGTAATCATTATAGCTGATAGACACATTTGCTAGTATATGTACAATAAAAACATTATTGATTGATAAAAGCAGGGGGTTATACAATCACAAGTGTTAGAGCAGCACACATTACCTGTTCTTCCTCACTGTCTACGATCATCAGATCTGCTCCTCTGGCTGTGCAGTCTTGTCTGCTTTGTTCCCAAGAACGTTTCTCAGTAGAGAAGAGATAACAGGAACAATCGAACATCCTCCATCCTTCAGGACATGTTTTCTCTGTAAAAGTTTTAAGATCTTGTAGATTTACTGCTTCAACTGCTGAAATATGGAACTCTTGAGTGCATTACAGTATATGTCACTTTTGTAATAATAATGAAAACAAATATTTATTAATCATTTTTAGAGGGATCAAATGAGATCACACATTTCATTGCAGAACAACTACTTCTCTCTTTTTGGGATTTAACTAACTGTTTCGATGTGATCTAGTCAGGCACCACAGCACTGAGACTGATCTTGTTAAAGTCTTCAATGACATCCACTTAAACACAGACAGTGGCAACATTTCGGTGTTAGTTACTAGACCGACTGGAAAACTGGGTCTGACTTTCGGCAACAGTTCTAAATTGGTTTGAAACCTTGTTATCCTTTATTATTATTATTATTATTATTATTATTTTGCTGCAAATATCTGGAACAAACTACTTCTAAGTTCTTCTTCCTATTGCTTATATTAAAAGTAATTTAGACAAGGAAAATGGCCATAAGCATAGTTTACAGAGAAATATAAATATGGTGGGTGAAGAAAAATAAAACAAACTATAAATTAAATCCCTCACAACTAAGTCATTCAAAACTAATTCTTGATTATCATTAATGAAAAGTGTCATTGTGTAACTATTTTATGAAAGGATCAATAGTCAGCCTTAGACTATCAATATCAAGGTATTTTGTAAAATATATTATGTTAATTGATATCTTACATACACATACCGAGCCCTATGCAAACCCCCACATGAAGCACTCACTCAAACACTCCACCTCTCTGGTCTTTTATGACCCACATAATGAGAGAGGTGAAAGCCAACATGAAACACTTGAATAAGGCAGTCACTCTACACCAGTTTAAGGTGAAGAGGAACATAATGGATCGTCTGCCGAGCCAGGCGGAGCTTCTCGCCGCCATGGCGGCCGCTGAGAAGCGCATCCCGGAGCTCCTCGACCTGATGGCCGACAAGCCGACCTCAACCACCCAGAAGCTTCTCTATGGCTATCTCACCCTCCATTGGAGCCTCCTGTATGGCCACCGTACGAGCGTGTACGCAAACATGAAAAACAGTGAGGTCTTAGAGGCGGCCAAAAGGGGAACTGCTGAGGGCTGCATCATCCATGTGCAGGATCACAAGACGGCCAAGACATATGGCGAAGCACAGCTGGCGCTTACAGTAGAGGAGTTTAGCTGGGTCATGCGGTGGATGGGGATTAAAGAGGCATTGCTGGGTCCTCAGAATGAATTCTTCCTTTTCACAAGGGGGATTCGGGCCTCCAAGAACCTGCACGCTCACTTGAAGAGGGCATGGGCTGATGCTGGGCTAGAAACAGCCGTCACCTTCACCATCCTGCGCACTGCCCTGGCTGACAATATCAAGCATCACCAAGATCCAGAAAGCCGGTCGATTCTCGCCAGGTTTATGTGTCACGACGTAACCACGGCGGACCGGTTCTACGCGAATGCGCCTGGAATAAAGGAGGCATTGAAAATCCGCTCCATGTTCAGGGCGTCATCGGTTGCGGCAGCAGCTGCATCAGCATCAGAAGGATGTCTACCGCTGTCAGATGGGGAGACCTCCGAAGAGGGCTCCGGGGCTGAGAGCAGCAGACAAGACCCCAACGATACCTCTTCTTCAGAGCACGAACAACCTGATGGGTCATTGGAGCGGCAGCAGCAGCGGAAGCGGAAGCGGGAGGGAAAGAGGCCAATGAAGTCGGGACCGGGGCTGGTTGACACTCCTGATGATGGGGCAGGGGCCGTGGACTCAACCTGTTTGCCCTGGTGCACCGTACGAATTAGACGCCTAATATGTTCCCCGGAACCCCGCTAAACATTGTGAATATGTATACCGTGTATATAGTTTTTGTTCAAATAACTTGTTATAATTATTATTATAATCCTGGGTATACATTTTGTAAATAGTACAATACCTCCAGGGCGCATAACTGCACTTTACAAGCCAGGGAAGGTGCCTGAATCCTGGGTATACATTTTGTTAATAGTGCAACACCTCCAGGGCGCATAACTGCACTTTACAACCCAGGGTAAACAATTTAGTAGTACTAGTAGTAGCAATAGTAGTAGTGCAACGTGTAAATACTTGATGTTTTAGGCTGTGTGTACTGTGGTTTTTGTTTGTGCAACGTGTAAATAGTTGATGTTTTAGGCTGTGTGTACTGTGGTTTTTGTTCAAATAAAATAAAAAAAATAAAAAAACAATAACCTTGATGGTTCCCAGGGGCAGATAAAGTGCCACTTTCCATCAGCACCGGGGAGGCACTCTCCTTGGTGCTGAACCCTGTGATGAGCGCTCAAGTGTTGGCGGAGGAGGTGTAAGCCAGAGGAGGGTGAAAAAAAGTTAAAGAGTTTGAACCTCCAGCCCAGAAGGGGGGTGGTGGTGCCAATAAGAAGGCCGAATTTGGATGCTGATGGGCGGACATAAAAGCACCACAAAATCCACCCCCCTTTAGGGTCCCTAAAGGGTCATCAGGGGCACGAGGTTCTGGTGGGTGTGAATACCTGTGTTTAGTCCGTGGGGGAGTGCTTAAGGCGAGACACCCCAGGTGAATAGGGTAATTTTTTTAACTTAAAGATATCAGCTAGAAATATCTCCAGTTAATTACTTACAATAAGGCAATTGTTTTTTGTATTACAAGTTTTCTGAAATAGCATGTTTAAATATGCAAATGAGCCATTATCTCATGAAATATGGGCATATTCACATTCACATTCAGGAACCGAAATCTGAACTTTGGATAAAGCCAGGATCAAAATTATTGTTTCATTTTGTAGTCATATTAGTATCTAAGGCTTTTACAGAAGGGATTTTGGATATCTCTTTGTATCACTCCATAAATCAGAAAATACTGTCAACAGCCCTAAAATATCAATTTTCACCATGTTTTTAGGTATAAAATGTTATATAATTCAGGCTATGAATTATATATGACCAAACCCTTCTGTAAAAGCCTTCATAATATTGATAGGAATATAACTGGAAGGTTTGGTGTATGTAACTGCTACTGAAGTGGAAATTTCGAACTCAGAGTAGGAGAAAAAACTCATTTTGAGAAAACGACCTTTAAAGATTTGCAGTGTGACGCTAGCTAAACCCTCCTGTTATCTGGATGACAGCTTGCGCATCGACGCACTCCCTGAAGGTATTTCATGTTCGGGGTCATTTGTTTTTTGTATAACCTTGCTTTGTGCAAGTGACAATTGTTGTCGTCTTCTCTGTGAACGTTTTTTTCGCCGTTATTTTGCCATTTTCAGATTTAAGTTTCTAGCGGAAAGCTAACCAGGAAGTGCTTTAGCACACCACGTGACGCATCTGAACGAATCACGTTGTCAGAAATTGACACCAGCCAATGAGATTTCGTTTCTTGGTTTAGACCCCTTTGCACTTTCACGATTGGTTGCTGATACAAAGGAAATGACCATATTTGGATCCGATGAGATTGTGCAGGAGACACGGAGCTTTCCAACGATACCTCTGATGACATGGTGCAAACAGCGGTCGCGGTACTTTATGTTACGTTAGAATGCTAACTTTTGGTGAATTTAGGAGAAATCTACAGACACAAATAGACAAACTATAGTAAAATAAACACTTAAATGTGTATTTTGTATGTTTTCCTTCCAAAAGCCTGAAAGAAAACATGTTATGGAATCAAAATAGCACAAAATCTCAAAATTGACCAGTGCAGGAAAAACGATGTTTTTGCCTGCCGTGTCTCGCCTTAACTGCGGGGGCCCGAGGACTCACGGTGTGCAAGGTTATGGAGGTGCCACTGTTATGGGGACATGCTGGAGGTCATTAGTCCGTCCTTTGGGGGTCTGTGAGCGGGCAGAGAGAGGTGATTTTCCCGGTCTCCGTCCTGGAGGTGTGAAATAAACAGAGTCCCACTGTTAGGGATTGGTGCTGGAGGTCTCTAGGCCGTCCTTTGGGGGTCTGTGAGTGTGCAAAGAGAGGTGATTTTCCCCTCGTCTCTCCTAGAGGTGTGAAATAAACAGAGTCCCACTGTTAGGGACTGTTGCAGGAGGTCATTAGTCCGTCCTTTGGGGGTCTGTGAGCGGGCAAAGAGAGGTGATTTTCCCGGTCTCTGTCCTGGAGGTGTGAAATAAACAGAGTCCCACTGTTATGGCGCATTTCCATTGCAGCGCGTAGCTCGCTTTAAGCGTGCCGTGTCGTGCCGTCCCCTTTTTTGGTTGTGCTTCCACTAGGCCTCGTTCCGGCGCGGCACGGCGCGGGGCCACTTTTTCCCCTCTTTTCTGGCCCTAGAAAATTGTGGTTCTATCGGGGCCAACAAACAGGGCTGAGTCGGGCTGAGTATGCTAAACTAGAGAGAGGAGCGCTGGCAAGAGGGCTAGAACTACAACAAGATGGACATATTTGACCGTGATTTAATTGTAATACACGTTTCAAAATGATGCCGAAGTAACAACATACTGATACCGGTTAGTAAAAACCATGAATTAATGCTTTGTCAAGTCTGCAGACAGACGGCAGGCGAAAAACCTTTTAAAATTCGTGTTTTTCTAGATGGAGATTGGCTAAGCTAACGCAGTATATGCCCCGACCGTCCACACTCACAACAACGGCCTATACAGACATAAATAAAGCAGCGACTGTATTCACCATGACACAGGCAGTCTGTGGTGTGTACTTGTTTAACTTTTGTCGAGTTTCTGAACATATATAAGGAGCTGTGAGCTCTGAGTGCTCACAGCTAACGGCTGTGTTGTGTTTCTGGATTTCTCATTGAAGATGACGTCACGGCTCCGCCTACACTGCGTTACTATAGTAACTACCCCAGTTCCTAAACTGTAATGGAAGCGCAGCATGAAGTGAGTCGGCCCTGTTAAGGCCCAACGCGGCCAAGCCGTACCGAGCCGTACCGAGTGTGGCCGAGGCCGACCGTGTAGTGGAAATGCGCCATTAGGGACTGTTGCTGGACCCGCTTCA